TTTTTGTTTGGGGATGGTTTTGTTTGTTTATTTACTTTTTTATTTTTCCCTTGCTGATGTGCTTCTGTGGCTCTTTCCTGAAAATACTCACAAGAACCTGGGGGGGGTGATGCCAGTTCAGCATAAATCCGTGTGCTTAATCATCTCAAAGATTCAATTTCTTTCAATAAGGCGGAGTAAGTAGCAAGTAAACAAGCTTTTATATTTACTGTTTTATTTTCTTTATAACATTCATAACTCAAATATTTTAATGGTGTTTACATGAGCCAGAAACCTATGAGAAAAATAAAACATAAACAATTCCAGGACCCTCAGCTTAGTCACAGGAACAGGGAGAATGAAGTAGTTAGATTAGTTTCTTGTAAAATCAATTCAGGAGACTGTAATTGTTTAGATACAGGGGTATTTTGAAAGAAGAAGCAAGCCCATATAATTTTAGAATACAATCAAACTGGATTACTTCCATGCTTAGATTTGTCTGGAAGGCCAAGCACAAGGGAGATTAGATGCTCACCAATCTTTTTTATAGTCACAGTAATTTATTAATCTTGAGGGCCAAACAATGTTGATTATTCCTGTGCATTTTAAATATCAAACAAAAGTGGCATTTGTATATTAATCCAAATTATTATACTGAAGGGCAGAGGAGTTCTGAGACATGAGGGAAGGAGCTGTCTGTGCAGATGGGCCCTTAGTTTACACCATTTGGAGTTCAGGCCATCCAGCCCTCAGTGCAAGATCTACACCTGTTTTGAGCTGTAAAGAAATAATAGGAAGCTCAGTATCTTTAACAGTATATTTGTGGTCTGCAATGGATATGCAAACTCCACAAGACCATAAAAGACTCTAAAAAAAAGTAGTGAACTGTTCTCCTGTGGAATCGGAAGTTATACAATTTGGTCAAACAAGGTAAGTGTTGGTAAGTGTTCCTAGCAGTGCATTGCTTTGCATATTGTTGTCATTTCCCTAGGACAATCCATTAAGATTCCTGCCTTTTATGAATTGAAAATTACTCTAATTAGGCAAGCATTCTCTTCTATGTGCTACCCAGTGCGCTCAACCACAGCAAAAAAAAAAACCTAACAGAGAGGGAGGAGCCTGCTTCAATTCCCTTCTCCTTGAGGTGCCTAGAGAGAGGCAGAAGTAGGCTATATTGGGGGAGGGTAACACATGCCATTTTCATGAAATCCCCAGCAAATGCTGGGAGCAAAGCTGATAGAATATCATGCTGAAGCAATTCAAAACTGTTCAGAACAGATGGAGGAGAAGCAGAGAAATGTGCTGGCCTGGGAAAATGGAACCAAGCAGAAGGCACCTCCTTTCAGCAGTTACCTTTCGCTCCAATTCCCTCTGGGCTGTTAAATCCCTACAGCTGAATGCACCACTTAAAAATTTCAACCAAAGCATACTCCCAGTCCACTCAACGTTAATTTACACTACACTGAGCCAAGGCTGCTGTGGTTAACCAAGCTCCCAGCTCACTCTGTGAGTCACAAAAGCAATAACCTCAGTTACAGGACAGGAGAACTTTGAGCTGGTAGATATTTTTCTTTAAGCCTATGATGCAATAGGATTTTAATCTTCCTTAAAGACTTCTCTGCCTTTGGAGGTCTATTTCAAAATCAGCAGTGCAAGCTGAACTATTCTCTTTTCCTCTTTAGCCTCCACAGAATCAGGTGGATTATGTTTTCTGTCTTGGCAACAGAAAGCTTACTGCATTCAGGTCAATATTTCTCATTATTATAACAAGTATTTGAACAGACAAATGTAGTCACAGACTGAGAGTGGGGGAGAGAGGACCAACAGTAGCTATTGAGAAGATGTAATGTAAAGCAACATAAAAATTAAATGTGCTGCTTCTGATACCAAAGGCAAGTGAACTACAATTTTTGGTCATGTATCCTTCAGAACAGGAATAGTCACTAAATTACAGAAAGCTTACAGAAAAGTAAGAAGAATAAAAGTAGTCTGGGTAGAGAAAGAGTAAACTGGCCAAGAAAAGCAAAGACTGTCCAAGGGACAAGACCAAGTCACTCTAAAGCCTGCTATGAACTGTGCTAAACATCTCTGCCTTCCAGATTCACTAAACAACAACAGAGAGAAATGGTACTGAACAAGTCAGTGTAAATTTGGCAGTGAGAGCTGACCCCTGAAGGCTGTGCTGACATAGCCCCCAGTAGCTCTGGACCCTACCAGCACAACAGCAGACACAGTGCAGTGATGCCCTTGCAGTGGTCAGCCTCACAAGACAGGGTTCATCCCCCTCTGGCAAGGGGACCTGAGCTGCTGTTTTCAAGCCTGACAGAAATTGATTTTAGCACAATCAATTACTGCATTTATTTTTTTCTTTCTAAAACAATGTATTTCAATTTAGGCAACATTACAGGATTATGACTGAAAGCAAAAGCATTGTTTCAAACTTGGCATTGATGAAGAGAATACTGTAAGTAGAGATGCCAAGTGTAAATACTTTAAGAAATGCCTTCTTCTGTAATTTTTATGACTTTCCTCGAGGACCTACAGTTTCTGAACATCACTAAAGAAAGAATTGATATTGACCACCTGAGGGTTGATATACAGAGAAATAAGAAGATTTTTTTTGTTGTTCTTCAGGGAAAAAAGGGTCTATATGCATGAGGTAAGAGGAGTATTCTCTCAATCACTTGGCTCTTGGGGAGGTTTCCAAAATCCTCTGAAACAGAGATGAGTGTGAATGCATAGAAGACACAACTTGAAGGAAGGAAGGAAGAAAGAAAGAATGATTTGTTTTACGGACAATCATGTCACAGGATGCACCATCTCAAATGTTCTGCAGTCTGCATTGTCACTGTGACCACGCGGGCCTAGCTGGCCACATTCCACGAACACATCTGAACACAGTTACCAGGCAGTACTAGCAAGCAGCACTTCCCCTCCTACCCAGAAGTGTTCAGGTTTTTAAGCTTTCCTTTTCACTGCTCAGATTCCCAAAATTTACCACCAAACTATATCACAAGCACAAAAGTTTCCAAGTTGTCTGAATAGATTAGAAAGCGTCAAAATGAAGTAATGTGCTATGTGTATTTAGGTGGAAATTCAGAAAGCTACAAGATGCCAAGACTGTAGGTAAAAAGGGAGCTAAAAAGCCTTTGCTTGATCTGTGTGGAGATTGGCATGGAGATAATTATAGTGGCAACCTACCTCTGTTTACAGTCTTTGCTTGGACCAACACTTTGATATAAGAGTAGTTATACTTAACTCAATTACAGGTAAATCATGCACCCATGTAATCTCAAGATTTTTAACTCTTAGCACATGATAAAACATGGCTATTTCACCTGATAGGCAAAAAGCTATTTCCCTACGGGCTACAGTAGAAGCAATTCTGACCACATAAAAAGTTTTGAGGTTATCCAGTGCAGGAAACACACGTCTCCCAAAGTGGTTGCTGCTAAATGACTAACAGAGCACAAAACACATGATCCCTGTACTATTTTCTTCCTAACTTTGCAAACCTATCGTTGACCTTCATGAAACCTCATGCTTTGGACTTTCATTTTAAGCTTGCAGGAAATCACAAGAATCTCCTCATAGGGCAGATGAGCAAAGTGAATGCCAACAAACTGTACAACAAGATTACACAGAGCCATCTGTTCAGACACTGAGTCTGTTGAGAAGTCTCATCCCACACAGACTGCTGGTCTGACACAGGTCAGAATCTGCTCATAACAGGTATAAAACACTCTCCTGTTGCATTCCTAATTCACGCTTCCAAAACTTTAAGCAAAACCTGTTTCCTTTCGATCCCAAGTTTCAGGTTCGGTTGGAAACGCACACAATCTCGACTCCTACAAACCCTCTGAGGGAGAGGGAGGATAGCTGCACATCACCAGCCCAGCCCGGCCTCACCACAACATGGAGCCGTTCGAGCTCCATAACCTTGTAAACAGCAGGCGCCTTTCCTCAGCTCAGCCTTGCGGCCGCGGCAACACATCAGCCGGGCTCGGGAGCCGCGCCGTGCCTCCGCGCAGGAGCAAGGAACACTTTTACCGTGCCGTTAGGAAATACACCCGCGCAGCGGCAACGGGCGGCTGCGGGAGAGCAGGCTGGACCCAGAGCAGCTGCATCTGCCGCACTGACAGAGCTCGTCCCGAAGACAGCGGGGTCAGGAATCCCGCAGCCAAACCCCGCAGCGTCCCCAAGCACCGAGCCGCCGGGCAAGCCCCGCGCATCCCGAGCCGCGCTCCACCCGCCGGACACCGCCGCCGTCGCCGCCCGGAGCGCCCTCAGGGAGCTTTTCCCGGCGGGCCGCTCCCTCAGGAACGATACCGGGCGGGGACCGCCATCCCCGGGGCGGGAGGCGGCGACTTCGGCCCCGTTTTCCGGCGCGGCAAAGCCGGGCCGCGGTGGTCGGTGGCGGAACGGGAGCCCCCGGGAGGCGGCGGCCGGTGCGGCCCCGGGTGCCTCGCCGTGCTCTTACCCAGCATGAGGTGGCTGAGGCGCCGGGCCATGCCCTTGGACAGGTCGTACACATAGAGCTTCACGGGGTGCAGCGCCAGCGGCTCCTCCATGGGGACGGTGACGCGGGCGCGGCCGCCGGGCGGCAGCCGGAACCCTTGCAGACAAGGTTGGAAGGCCCTTCCCTCCAGGAGACAGAGGGGAACGGGAGGAAAGGGCGGCCCCGGTGCCGGTCCCCGGCACAGCGGCACCAGCCGAGCGGTGACAGGCGGGGAGGAAGGGGCCACCCTCCCCGGGCGCATGCGCGGCGGCCCCACGCCTGCCGGGCCGCCCCGTCACTGCGCGACAGCGCCGGGGGCGGAGCTACAGCCGGGGGGCGGGAACGGACAAGTCCCGCCGTCATTGGCTGAGGCTCGGAACCGTGAGCAGCGCGTGAGGAGTTCCCGCCCTTCGCTACCCCATTGCAGCCAATCCGCGTGGAGAGGAGGGACAAATGCCCCGGGATGGGCGGGACCCGGGCCATTTCCTCTCTCGCCATTGGTCAGAGTTGTTGCGGGGGCGGAGCGATCGGTCGGCTGAGCGTGAGCGGGGCTGTGCGGCGCGGGCCATGGCGGGCTGGGGGTCGTTCTACCGGGGCGAGGGGCTGGAGGAGGAGGAGGAGCAGCAGGAAGAGGAGGAAGGGCCTGAGACTGTCGGTAAGGGCCCCCCACCCCCTCACGGAAGGCATCCTGCTTTCCAGGCTCCACGGGTGCAGGGGCCGCTGCTAAAACTGTTTCCCCCGTTCGGTAGCGGAGCAGAGGTTTTCGGGCCGGGACAGCCTCATCTTTTTGGTGGATGCCTCCAAGGCCATGTTCGAATCCCACGGGGAGGCAGAGACTCCTTTCGACATGACCATCCAGGTAGGGATGGATAAACTGCTAAGGCAAGACTTTCACACTCCTTTCTGAAAACTATTTTCTTGTAATTTTGACCTGGGTGCGTTTTTTTCAGTGCATCCGGAATGTGTATACCAGCAAAATTATCAGCAGTGACAGGGACCTGTTAAGCGTTGTGTTCTATGGTACAGAAAACAACAAGAATTCGGTAGATTTCAAGCACATTTATGTTCTCCAGGAGCTGGACAATCCAGGTAAAGTGGTATGAAGATTTTGTAAAAAGAGGGAGTAAGGAAATTGGTGTAGTAGCATTGTCAGTAACTGGTCTCTCTAAAATCAGAGAGCTATCAGATAAGTTCTTACTGAAATCTACTCTTGGTGGTGGGGATAGATTTAGATATTTATTGAAAGCTTAGAAACTTCATAAGAGCCTAGCATTTTCTCTTAGAGTTGGTTCAGATCCTTTTCTATGCCTTTTCTTATATTTTAATGTGGTGGCTTCACTTGCTGTCTGCTGATACCTTAGAGTATCTCAACAGAACTCTAAAATGTCCACCAGAAAAGTGTGTGTCCATGTTAAGGCACCATGGATTCCAGCTTATGGAGAATGTCACAGAATAGCTGAGGTTGGATGGGATTTTGGAGGCCATCCTGTCCAGCCTTCCTGCTCAGGCAGTGTCAGCTAGAGCAGGTGGCTCAATATGGTAGCCTCTTTGGGGTGTTCCATCTCTTATTTCCATAATAAGTTCTGCAGTTCTTGAATCTCGCTCTTTCATTTTTTGAGATTACATACCATCTGCTTGATAGCAAGTGCTGGTTGCTGAATTGGAAAGGCAGCAGGAGAAGTGCAAAGGATACATGCTAGTGGTGACAGATTGTCTGGCAGTTGAGAGTCTTCTGGGGGAATTTTGTCTACAACTTTTAATACAGCCTTTATCTCTGAGGATGTTTGATTTAATTTTTTTACTAGGGGTTGCAGGTTTAACGACACAGGGGCTTCTCCTGAAAGAATTGAGCCTTGCCCTATTTTCAGAATTTATTACAATAGAGACCTGATAGGACAGCCTTAGGTTCTTCTCCCTTTTCTGGCAGACAGTGGCTTATAGGTCTTGTATTTCCACTTTCCTCCTCTTCCCTGCTTGTCCTTTCTCCCATGTTAGAGGCAGTAGCCTCACCATGAGGATAAAAACAGCACAGGTGAAAGGTGGGTGTTGGTCTGATGCCTTCTGAGGCTACCTGGAACAGAGGCTAGACAGTGTTAAAGGAATAAAGCAGGTATGGATTAAATGGCCTTCAAAGGATACACCTTGGGCAGTCCAAGAGCCTGGCTGTGGCTCCACCCAAGATGGATCCTCAGTCACGAGGTTTCACACTTCTATAAGTTTTGGTCCGTTTACATATTGGGGTTAATTGTCCAATTACAGCTTATGAAGTCCATCCTCCCAGATTGCTCTCCTCAATTTGCTGTTGTTTACACTTTTTGGGCCTGAAGCTGCAACAGTGTCCTTGGTTCTGGGGCTGGAAAAGGATTGCTTTGCCTAACTGCCCTGTGAAGGGAACTTGCTGACACTTTATATGACGCTAAGAGTTGCACACTAAGGCAGTACAGAATCTAGAAAATATGAAAGCTAAAACTTAAGGCATCAGTTCAAAAGGAGCAGAGTTGTGTATTTGCTGCTCCTGGAGAGCAGTCCTCTCTGGAGAAGGAAGAGATGCTGTAGGTGATCATTATGGAGTACAGCATTATGAAGATTTACGTTAAAGGACAGATGAGGAGATGAAAATAAAATAGTAAAGGCAGAGGAAAACATTTTCAAATGAAGTGTTTTAAGTGCTACAGAGCTTAAGTGAAGGACAAAGGAAGAAGCTCTGCAGGATGCAGTGGCTGAAAAATGAAAGTTTGTCTTCCATTGTAGAGTAACACGAGAGAACAGAACCTGCTGTTAGACAGGTGGCTAAAGGAGTCCTAGCTGGATTGAAATAATCCTCAGAGCTGCAGCAAGGCTGTGGACAACTGACCTGAATGTTGCTGTGCTCAGTGTGGTGATGTGTGGGCTTCATCTCACCTCTGTGTGCATCCTCTCTGATATGAGCGGTGAGGAGGAGGAGGAGCTCTCCACCTTCCCAGCACGCTGTGGAGATGCGGGATGCATTTCAGGCTCCTCTCTTTTCTGTGGTGGTGCAGCAGTCTGCTGTGCCTCTGCAGCAGGTGCAGTTTGCTGCCTTTGCAGCTGAGCACTTGGCATTAAGTGCAGGGGGTTTGCAATACTTTGATTCCTGTCTTTTCCCACAGAAAGAGCCCACATTGGTGCCAGGGCATTTTGGGTCCTCTTGCCCTAGCAGGTGCTTTCAGTGGTAAGTGGCTAATGATATTGCAGATGTTAGGCCATGCTGGACAGTTTTCCCAGCCAGGTGTTGGAAGGACATTGCTGTTGGAGAAGATGAAACAGGAAAGCCTTATAAATAAAAAGGAAAGCCTTATAAATGATTGCCTGGCAAAAGATTTTGAGAATATAGAAACTATAAGCAAGATTGAAATGAAAGCAAGCTTTGAGATACCTTAGTTACTGAACAACTGGAAAACAATGGTATGGCCAGACTGAGGGTAATCCCCTTTTGATGAAGCAAGACCCTCTGCTTGCAGACAGGTCCACAGGTCAGAGCAGACCCTACTAGCTTGGCAGAAGGGGTCCAAAGAGTCATTTTTAGGGTTTAAAATGTAACACAGTATGGTAATGTAAAGATTCTTATAGCCTGTATGTAAATGCTATAGGATTTGTATATTGTGCTAGATTGGTTAGTGAGAATTAGAATATTCCAACACAAAAGAAGATTTATTGTGTTGTAATGGGAAACTCGCTTTCTTACCCTCTTATCCTCTCTCTCTTGTTATCTTCTTGTATTCCATATTTCTCAAGTCCCCTACTGTACCAAGCTGTTCTTCTCTGCACCACAGTCCTTCAAGTGTCTTCTCAGGGGCTCCTCCTAGGCTCTCGCCCACCCCTATTTATTCCAGTTACCTTCACGAGCTACAGCTGCTGCCCAACTAAGGACTTCGCAGCTGTAGCTCGTTTGGAGTAACTAGGACCCACACAGATCTTACAGGGACTCTCTCCATAAGGACCCACTTATACATAGATCTTACAATACATAGATCTTAACAGGGATTCTCTCCATAACAATACATATATTCAGGCCCCCACATCTCTCTCTCATCCTCTCTACCCCTCTCCTCTCTCAGGCCTGCTCTGAGCTGCGGCTGGCAGCCCCCAGCAGGGCCCTGCACCCAGGCCCTTTGCAATAAACCCCATGTTCCATCACGTGGCTGCAGAGATCTCTCGTCTCTGTCCGTCCCGACCGTCCTGCCCCCCTGCACATTGCCACAGAGGTGCCTGGGAGCCTTCCTTGGCTGTCAGCTCTAGGGGACCCCTGGTGCATAGTCAGAAGAGCTCATGGTGCTTCTGGCAGAATTCCCAATGCCTGTGGATGCTGTTGCCCCCAGGTGCGAAGCGTGTTCTGGAGCTGGACCAGTACAGGGGAGAGGAAGGCCGGGCGCTGTTCCGGGAGAGCTTTGGCCACAGCGCTGACTATTCCCTGGGTGAGGCGCTCTGGGCCTGCTCCAACCTCTTCAGTGATGTCCGTGTCAGGCTGAGCCACAAGAGGATCATGCTCTTCACCAACGAGGATCACCCCCACGCCAATGACAGTGCTAAAGCCAAGCTGGCCAGGACCAGAGCTGGTGATCTGAGAGACACAGGTCATTCTTTCCCCTTTTCATTTTAGACACAGGAAACGTGGTGAGTCTTTGCAGCAGATGTTAACTGCGTTGCTGGTTTGTGATGGAAAAAGATGTAAAATCATTGGAACTGGGGAATGTTTCTGAAAGTTCCTAAACTAGAAATTTGGTATCTAATCTTAATTAGAATAGATGTTTTCTGATCTGGTATTCAATAGCTAGCACTTGTTTTCTAGGATCTCTTTCTAGTTTGATAGCATAAATAGGGACATGACAGGGCCAAGAAAATAAACTTTTCTTTATTATTGTACCATTTTCTAGGAAGGGAATAATAACACCAAGTTAACACAACAGGAAAATTACTTTAATGGTTCCATTTTGAATTAGCTGAAGGACATCAGCCTGGGCTCAGAGAGCAGACAGCATTAGTTTGAGTGTGTAGCTGAGGTAACCGGTAATGTTGGAATTCAGGAGATGTCCTGGATCTAGAAGCTGTGAAGGTTACTTAATCCATTAGCCCCTATAATTAAAGGAAAGGGGATTTTCTGAACTTGTTACTCCCCTCTATACCTGAGGTAAGATTATATTTTATAGGAGCTTTCATTGCTGTCTGCATTCTTAATTGGAGAGGAAACATTTTCTATTCTGCATTGTTTTGACTGAAATTAATATTCCCTTTCTTCAGAATATTTCACATCTGGTGCAGATGACAGTTTGGAGCTTATTCTTACTTAAATTATCTGTGTAGATAGAGAAATTTGAGAGTGCTGAGATACATGCTGATGCAAGAAAAAAGCAGTTTTTTATCCTGCTCTTATCTCTTCCATTGTTTCTAGGTATCATCTTGGACCTGATGCACTTGAAGAAGCCTGGTGGGTTCGATATCTCTTTGTTCTACAGGGATATTATAAATGTAGCAGAGGATGAGGACCTTGGGATCCAGCCTAGAGAGTCAGAGAAACTGGAACATCTCATGAAGAAAGTACGAGCAAAGGAGACAAAGAAAAGGGCTTTAGTCAGGTCTGTGCCTACTCATGATGCATCTTTCATTCAGCAGGGACACCTGATGTTATTTTCAGACTGCATCTCACTTTCCTCTTCTGGAATGATTGGTCTTTAAAGGCACTTTAAAGTGCTTACATTCCTCAATCTTAATTCTTTAGTCCAAGATTGGTGTTTCTTCTGTAGTTTCCAAGGATATTTGTGGATGAGAAGAGCAGAGTGGACCTCTTGTTTCCTCTGTGTGATATCTCCTGTATTGAGCTTGGCCAGAAATTATAATTTGTTAAAAAATTACATAATTGCCAAGTCCACTTACTTAAAAAGCTACAACATAAAAAACAGTGTATAGTGAAATCTGATTGAAATTAGGCTTTTCTTGCCAACACTATCTTTAAAAAATGCATCTGAATGTGAATGCTAGGTATTTTTTCCTGTTATTAAGTAATTCTGTGTTGCCAGTCTGTCTAGGTACTTGGCATGGATTCACACAGCCTTGATATTTCTAATCTCCTACTAAAAGATTAGAGATACTTAAGAAAGATTACAGGGATCTTGACAAAACAGATAGAAAGTATTTTTGGAACCACATGCTCTATAACAGTTGCTTTTTTAGGGAGTGAGTTCATAGCAGAATGCTGTGGAAGCACAGTAAGACCTACTTTCTTTTTCCCAGTAAATATTTATAAGGTATCCCAACCTGAGCTGTAGTCACTGGCATTCTTGCTCCTGCTTGCAGCCTTATTTTCTTTTCTGGCAATGTTCCTTAAGTTTTCTAATAGCTGGGGAGGAAGAATCCCAAACCTTTCCCAAAAAGGTATCCCAGTGATACCTTTACAAGAGAAGAAGTTACATTTGTAGTAACTCACTGTTCTGCTCCCATAACTTGAAGATTACCTCTATTTTTAAACTTTTACATGTAATTTTTTCTCTAACATCTGATTTATATTTTTTCTTAAATCTTGGTATTGTTTGTCTTAGTGATTTTTTTGGGGGGAGAATTTTGCCTTCTGTGCAAACAGCTGTGAGAATTCATGGACATTACAATAAGCATAATTGGGGTACCCAGATGGGGACTTGTCCTGTGCACTGTTTGAGCATAGTTACCCTTCAGTGAAAAAAAAAAGGTCAAAGAAACATAGTAAATTACTTGTGTTTAGATGACTTTTATGATGAGAAATGATGATATTGCAAAAATATTTTTATTCAAGTGAGATTATGACTCAACTGATAGTATGTTTCCCAAGATATATGCGATTTTGGGGGAGGAGAACAGGAGGTCAAAGGAAATAACTTATATGAGGGAATGATTTTCTTCTGCAGTCGTGATTTTTTGGGAATCTCAAGTCTGTATCTGCTTTTTTACACAGGCTAAACCTGCATCTGGGCAAAGATGTGGCCCTTTCTGTTGGTGTTTACAACCTTATTCAAAAAGCTTATAAACCACATCCAGTGAAGCTTTATCGGGAAACTAATGAACCTGTTAAAACCAAAACAAGGATGTTTAGTGGAAAAACAGGCAGCCTGCTCCTGCCCAGTGACACTAAAAGGGCTCAGGTAACTTTTTGATTATGTACCTGCTTTTTCTTGTCTCTGATGTGTGAGGGAGATGCCAATTCCCTTGCTGCTTTTGTTTGTATTGCACTTTCAAGATGAGATACAGAAATATTTGCATGTGTATGCACCTGGGGACAGGCTGGTGTGGAGAGCTCTGCAGGGTGAGGATGGGTTGTCTCCCTGGCCTGGCTGTCATGGGAAGGCATAGCTGTCAGGAACACAGGTAATTTCTTTCTGTAAGGCAGAACGCGGTTGTCAGAGCCTGACCTTGTGTGACCCTGGGCCATTGCCACTGCTGCCAACTTTTGGTTTGTTAGGAACAGATTGGGTCCATTTTGTTAAACATACAAGTGTGAATCACAGGGGAGTTGGAGCTGTTTTCCAAACAAAAGGCATGTTTCCTTTGGAGGCTTTTGTATAAATTTTTCTTTGTTTTGCCTTCCCACTTGATGGTTTGGCTGATGTAAATTGAGTGTCACGTTGTAACGAGCACAGCTTTATTTCAGAACAGGTTATGCAGTTGCTAGGTATCCTGTCACAAGTGTGCTTTGTGTCTTCTTCCATGTTGGTAGTTCTTAAAGTTATTGTCTTAAAATGAAGTATTTAGTCTATTTATAGTGGATATTAGTTTATTGAAATAAAGTATAGGAGATAAACAGAAAGCTGAGCATTAAGCCTTGATGTTTACCTTCAGCAACTGGACTTTAATATGATTTTGATTTTGTGAGGCATGGGTGGTGCTACAGAAATATTGTTTCTCAGTCACTGTTTCTGTCAGGAGCAGGTAGCTGACTGAAGCAAGTTTACAATTGGACAGGACCTCTGAAAAAGTCTGGTATAACCTGGCCCAGAGTGAAACCAGATCAGGTTGCTCAGGGCTTCTTGGGACACCTCTGAAGAACTCCAGAGATGAGATGTGACAGCCTCTCTGTATCAGGGCTTAGCCATTTTCTTAGAAAAGTGCATTTTGCTTATGTTCAGCTAGAATTTCCCTTGGGATAATGGTCACAGACTGCACTTGCCAGTTCAGTGTGCACTACTCATGAGGGTTTACACTGTCTTGTCTATGCCCTTCTTTTAAATAGTGGAACACAGCAATTGCATCCTCTTCCTGCACTTCCTGCCCTGTCCTGCCTCCTGGTCCTCATTTTTTTTATGCTGGCAGCTCTATCATCTGCTCTTCCCTGGTTTAGACATACGGAAACCGACAGATTGTGCTGGAGAAAGAGGAGACGGAAGAATTAAAACAGTTTGATTCTCCAGGTTTGGTTCTGATTGGCTTCAAACCACTTTCAATGCTAAAACAGCACCACCATGTCAGGCCCTCCCAGTTTATCTATCCTGAGGAGTCCCTGGTGAGAGGTAAGCAAAGATGGCAGGAGAAGATTTGTCACCTTGCATTAGTGTAACTGCTGATCCATCGTGAGGTTGGGTGGGGATCATTGAGTGTAAAAGCTTTGTCTAATTTAACAATTTGCCAATGTTAAGAAGAACTGAATTAACTGTTATTGCCCCTCTCAGCTGCAGATATGTCTTGTTTTCTTCTATAGCAGAGCAGCCAATTGTGCTTCATGTTTATCCATCATGACAAGCAGCCAATTAAACCAGGCAGATGTAGTCACAAAGTACTTGTTTTAGCCATTCATGAAAATGAAGGATCCTAGTACCTGACAAGAAGGTAAAGATGGTTAAAAAAGCCCAAACAAAACCAACCAGCAACAAAAAAAGAAAAACCTAAACCCCAAACCAGAGGAGATAATTGCTGCTTTTAATTCCATATCAGTAGGAGTGGAAACATGATACTCAGGAAGTACAGTTGAGTTAACAGCACTTTACAGGCTTGTAAAGAGAGAAGGCAAGGCCATTTAGAACTGCTTATTTTTGCCTTTTTATATGTATACATACATCTGTTTATTTAGAAATATATCCCAATCTGCAGTAGTAAGAAAAAACCTTTAGCTCCTCCTTTAGCAGTGGCTAAAGAGCGCGGAGTTATGACCAAAGGTTTTGCAGTGTCTGATTAAAGAAAAACCTTTATGCTTGCTTCTCTAACTGCAGTTTCCTGGCTCAACCATGTTATTTATGTCAGTCTTTCCCTGACCACCATGTGTGGTGAAGTATACCTGAGGTAAACATGTGCCTCAGAAAGAGTACTGAAGTCTGAATTCTTAGTGTGTTACTTCCACAAAAGGTCTGTGGTCTGCTTCTATTGTGATGTCCCACCAAACAAAAATAGACTTTGTAGAGAAAATTTCACAGTATTCAATCTCTCAGATGGTAGTGATTTCACTTCTTCCACCAGAAGTCTCACTGCTAGTCAGGAGAGACTCACTAACATTGTCCATTTTGAGTCTTCTCCCTTCCAGAATTTGCTTTTTACCTCCACAATAATGCAAGCATTTCCAAGAAGTCACAGGGTTATATCTAGGGTTATATAGCAGAGCAAAGGAGCAAAGCTGTCAGTCTAACCAGTCCCCTCTTTGCTTTGCAGGGAGTACAACTCTGTTTAATGCCCTCCTGATGAAGTGCTTGGAGAGGGAGGTGATGATGCTGTGCAGGTACACCCCTCGCCGCAATGTCCCTCCTCGCTTTGTGGCCCTGGTTCCCCAGGAGGAAGAGCTGGATGAGCAGAAAGTGCAGATAGCCCCTCCAGGTATGGGGGGGGATGCTGCCTTTCCCTGCATGGTTGGATGCAGTCAGTGTAATGGCATCCTCTATTGAGGGAAAATATTCCTAGTGCTACCCCCCTTAAAACTGGGGAAAATGCTTTCCAACATTCCTTTTCTTCAGTTTTGTCAGTGTAAGCATCTGATGTTGAATCTATTTTTAAAGCCCCAATTGCATCAGTGCTTGCTCAGGTATGACCTGGCTAGAGTGTTTTCCCTGCCTTCTACCTATTTTTTTGCAGATTCAAATAACTGCTGTAGAAATGAAAAGCCTGTTTGAAGAATAGACAATGTCTTTTCTTGAATTATGTTGTATCCTTGAATAGATTGTAAAGTATTAAATAAATAATCTCACGTATAATGAGCCTCATACCACGTCAGACGAATGGGGAATGACTAGGGAGCAGATCTCTGCTGTTTTGCATTTTCTCACCTCTTCAAGTGCAAAAACATCTTCTGGGAGAATGTAAAGTAGGGAAGTAACACTGCTTGTGTACAAAGTAAATAATTTCAGAATAATGTGGGCAATATCTTGATTTTCAAACAAATCTTTCTCAAGCTCAGACCCAGTGGGAGGAGTGGACTGGTTGATCTCCTGTGCATAAAGCAAGTCTCTGGTATTCAACTGGTAGCTATGAATTTAGTCTGAATGTCTTTCACAAAGCCATTAGTGATGTTGGTTACAAACGTTGAGATTGGGATTGAGTGTCCTGCTGTGGGCACTTGGAAGTATTATGGACTGCTGTTGTTAACAGCAAAACAGGTAGGTAGTTTGGAGTCATCAGACCTAGATAATAAGCATCTTGTTTTTTCTATAAATTATTTTGAGACCATTCTTCTGTGTAACTGTTGTCTTCCTCCCTCTCTTTTGTGTAGGTTTCCACATGATTTTTCTACCCTATGCAGATGACAAACGTAATGTTGATGTTACAGACAATGTGCCAGCCAGCCAAGAGCAGGTGGACAAAATGAAGGAAATAATTCAGAAGCTGAGGTTCAAATACAGGTACCTGGAGACAAATAGGGTGCAGGGGGTGGCATGGGGAAGAAAGCACAACCATTGCTTGTTCTGTTGCACATGTTGTTCAGCTGTGGTGTTCCTGAGATCAGATTTTGATGTATTTTGATAGAAATTGCTTCTCTTTGCAGTAGCTTTGTCCAAACTTTATTCTTAATCATTCTGGATACCCAGGCACCACAATGCTTTGTGTAGCACATTCTGGAGTTCTTTGTAGAATTGCTCTTGTTCTCTGGGCTGTTGTCATTTGTTGCAGAGGTATCACATTTTATTGTGGCTCTGCCACTCTACAGCAGATCAGACCCAGATCATTTAAATTAGAGCACTTTAGAAAGAAGAACTAGGTCTTTTTTTTCATTACAGCTGGGATAAATGCTCTCAAGTACTTTCATGGGAGATTTTTTCCCTAGATATGTGGAAGCCACCATAACTGTACATAAAGTATAATATCACTATCTCCTTTTGCTTCATGCAACTTTCTAACTCTCACACACCATTCTTATGCGGTTGATACATGACAGGATAGTGATTCAGCAGGTAAATTGCAAAGAGGAAAAGCAGTTCTGATGTGGTGGATTGTTGTGTGGGAAAGAGGGAAGTTTTATTCTCGCATAAGTTGGTGGTAGATCTTGTGTTTTGTCTGTCTTCTTGGCAGCATGCATTGACATTTTGGGGGATTCTTGACAGGGCTGACAGCTTTGAGAACCCAGTTTTGCAGCAGCACTTCAGGAATTTGGAGGCTTTGGCGCTGGATATGATGGAACCAGAACAAGCTGAGGATCTTACAAGTGAGAGCTATTGGCGGGTGTGAAGGGAGGCAGGGTAGGGGACTTGTGACTTTGTTATGAGTCAAATATGTGCTACTACAAACCTAAATGTATTTTAAGAAATATTTCAGTTGTGTGCAGTTTCACTTTGTAGGATTCTGGATTGGGTCCATTCTGAAATACTGAAACCTTATTTTCTATTGCTGTCACTTAAAAGGTAAAGAAAAAAATTGCTCACTTTACCATCCAAAATTAAAATTGAATCACCTTTTTCCTATGGTGAGAAATATTTTCTCTGAAATTCCTCTGTTCAAGATTCTCATTAATATTTCAGTGTGATAAATGGAGTGAATGAAGGGAATTATTCTGCTAGGGGCAGTGCTGCCACCTAGTGAGGGGGAGAGTTTAACTGTAAGTGAATTGTATCACCGCAGAGCGGGTCAGGAGTGCAGGGACCACAGTGGGTCATCTGGTCCAACCCCCCTGCCAGCAGGGTTATCCTACAGCACATTGCAGAGGGTGCATTCCAGGGAGTTCAATTATTTCTCCAGTGAGGGATACTCTACAACCTCTGTGGGTGGCCTGTTTCAGTGCTCAGTCACCTTCCCAGGAAAGGTTTTCCCCCTGTTCAGATGGCTCTTCCTGTGCTTCAGTTTCTGCACGTTGCCTCTTGTCCTGTTGCTTGGCACCACCAGGAGCCTGGCACTATACTCTTGGCACCTTCCCTTCAGATACTTAGATGAGGTTCCCCTCTCAGTCATCTCATCTGGAGGCTGAACAGTTCCTTCAGACTTTCCTCATAAGGAAGCTGTTCCAGTCCTTTAATCATCTTTGTTGTCGTCTGCTGGAGCCATTCCAGGAGCTCCATATCTCTCCTGTACCGGGGAGCTCAGAAATGGATGCAGCATTCCAGATTTCCAAACTCTTGATATTACCAAGAGCTGTAAATTTCTCATTTGGGAGTATCATAACACAAGTATTTGCATTTTTGCATGCTTGCAGGACACTTGTGGACTCGTTATTACAGAAGCACAATTGTGTCTGGTGATGTTACTGAAAAACAGTCAGACTTGTTAGCACCAATGCAGCTTTAAAAAGCAGGTGTTCTTTATTACAGTCCTGGATGCATGAAGGATATCTCCACCAAAATCGTGCATCTCTAGTACAGAAAAAGCTGTTTATGTAGGTTTTCTCAGAAGGAACATACAAGTGGTAATCATTTCCCCAAAATCTTTAACATGTGTTAATTCTCCTTTGTGCACAAGTTCTTCAGTCCCAGGGGTCTCTCTCATGGTCATAGACCCTAAAGTTACAGCTGGGTGCTTGATGAACTGGTGTTACATCCCAATACAGAGTGCAAGTTGGCATACCTAAGCTGGTTCATGTTTTGTGAGTCCCTTCTTGGTGAATGTTTAACATGATCGTACAAAATAAAGTATTGTGTGGTTCCATACACTAATGGTTTTGTAGAATGAGCATTGTATTTTTCCCACCAGGTGAGCTGATAGTTCATCTGGCAACAGGGATGGCCTTGCTTGCAGGCTTTCTTGTGATCACACTGTTTCTGAGAGGGCAAATCTTTATCTTTTGCCAGTGCCAAAGTCTGAACAGATGAGCCACAGGCTGGGCAACCTGGTGGATGAGTTTAAGCAGCTGGTTTATCCCCCTGACTACAATCCTGATGCAAAGGCTGTAAAGAGAAAACAAGGTAAGTAGTGGTGGTGCAGACACAAAATACAATGTCTGTATTCTGTTAAGAAGGTCCTGTGTTTTCAGTTTGTCTCATAGTTTAAAGTAGCTGCTTGTGCAACAACTCTGCTAATCTCCACAATGAAGTATTATATCCAGTATTGCTTCTTAGAGAGCAGAGAATATTGTGGTGTCCAGTTGGAGAGTTGCTGGAGTGACAAAATGCAGGGTGAAGTATAGGCAGTAACGTGGGTAAATGACTGCAGAATATGTACATATAATTTTAGCATCTTTCTGTTTTACAACAGAATAGTGAAATCACTTATGCTTTCAGTTTGTCTTGGTGAGACTTTTATGCATGGGCTGTTTAGCAAGTCCAAGATGGGCATCTTATTGGCTAAATGTGTAAGCAATGCTGAAATCCATGGGTAATTTGGGAGTCTATGAAAGACTGCATAAAGTGAGTGTCAGCTGAGCTCCCTGTGGAATCATTGCATTCTGCTGTCTCAACGAGAATCCCTTAAAAGTTTCATTTGGAGGGTGATGCTTTCATCACAACACACAGTTTCATACTTCAGTTAAGATCACTCCTGTCAATGAAATACTGCATGACTTACATAGTGCCTAAGTTACCTGTTTCTTAAAAGAAAACATGAAAACTAGGTCTGTGAGTGTGTGGCTGTTTAAGTACCATATGCTAATGGCCATTAACTATGGTATGTGTAAGAAGCATTGATGTCTTTCTAATTTTTAAAATCTTTGTGATCTAAAATGTATCTTTCTAGCTTCTGATGGTCAAACTGAGAAGAGGCCCAAGGTAGAAGTCTCAGAAGATGAGCTGCGGTGTCATGTGCAGAAGGGCACTCTAGGCAAGCTCACTGTACCTATCCTGAAGGATGCATGCAGGTTTTTGGGGTTGAGGAGTGGAAGCAAGAAGCAGGAGCTTGTGGATTCTTTAACTGAATACTTTAATGAGCACTAAGCTGGAGAGGGTGGCCCTGGTTTACTTCTGTCTGCTTAGAATCTTGATTGTCTTATGTGGGTGCTGTGTCTACTTAATCTTGCTATGAAAGAGATGGCAACTAAGTGTTGCTCTGTAGCAGTGGAGAAACTTTTTTCTTGTGAAACATCTCTGCAAAGTTGGATTCTGTTGACAGTAGGTAAAGGCAGAGCTAAATTCCCTGTGAACTCAGGTCACCCACTGCACATGGACAGAGTTGTGCCTTGCTGGTTTCTTAATAAAAGTTTGGATCTTTTCCTTTGCAACACTGACTGTGCCATCTCAGTATCATAAAGACAGCAGAAATCATTTCAGTGTAAGAAAACACAATGATCTGTGTTAATGGCACCACATGAATCCAAGCAGCAGATTGAGTCTGTGTCCTAACAGAGGGTATAAATATGTGTTACTCTCCAAAACAGCCAGTATCAGTACTAGTAATCCAATTGGGTTCTTTTCTGCCATCACCATTACAAATATTACCAGCAGATCTTAAAAGAAAAAAATCATTACTGGGAAGCAGTATCCAATCCCTTGGGCAAAAAGCTGGCACTTAAATCTGCACACACAGGTCTCCCATTTTTAAATGGTAATAGCAGAAGCTGGTTTAAAAATGGAAAACAAATTGTGTTCCCCGGAAGGCTGCAAGCATTTATCCCAATTAAATTACTGAGATGGCAAAGAGCTTTTCTACCTCTCTAAGTGAATGAGTCAGACTATTGTGCAGGCTTCTGTACTCAAACATGTGCTTTTAAAATAGAAGAATAGCAAGTTATGGAGACAGCCCTTGTTTCATACAGTATTTTTACTTTTTTAGTTGTACTTAAGAAGGCTGCAGCTAGGTGTTTTGGGTTTTAGACTTCCATCCCTGGCATACCCCACCTGTCTTGCAGTGCAAGATGACTAAAACCAATAAACAGTTGTTGCTTTTATCTTAGGAAATTACTAATTGTTTAGTGAAACTCTTAACATTTTACAGGACACAAACATTGGATACCTGAGGTGTCCATTTTGGTCTGCTTAGTGTTTTTAGTGTCCAGAGATTCCTGTGTGTGGCCCACAAACTGTCCTGTCACCATCTGTAGTGTGGCACATGTGGAGCCAGCTGTGACCACCCTTCTGGCACTGCGACTGTCCTAGCTGTGCCAGCATGCTGCTCATTCTACCTCCACAATTCCCCCAGAGAGCAGCTAGCCTGCACTGAGCTCTGCAGCACTGAAACTACGTTACCTGTTACACTTCCAATCAGCCTGGATTAGTTATTTTTAATAAAGATTTGCCTAAGCACTCAATTTATTTTGCCCTTGGGCAATGAAGTTACTCTAAATGCTTGTCTTAGCAAGGCTTGAAGAGTGGAATAGTGAGACTATCCTGTCTGTAAGCCTGTGAATTGAATTCTGCAAGTAGCCTTGTTAACATCTCTCTTGCCTTGCTAACCCTCAGGCACACTACGTGCCAGGCTTTGGATGATTGTGGCATGTTTGTTCTAGGTTATTAGATCTGCCTCCTGGCTTTCTTTTTTTTTTTGTTCTTTTTAATAGCAGGCTATCACATTAAGCAGAAGTTTAAAAGGGATGGTGATGGAGTGCTTCAGAGCAGAAAAAGACAGTTTTGCTTGCTCAAGTATCCTTTATTTCTGCTCCTTGTGTGCTTTCTCTTACATCATCTGCCTTGGTACAGCAGGGCAAATCCTTGGCAAAGCTGTAGCTCTTAACACAACTAGCTCAACAGTCAGCATCAGTAGAAGGGAACAGGAGCCCTTCTAAACCTCATACAAATAAAAGGATTCTGAAGTATTTGGATCAAGTTCATCTCAGCAAGGATTACTGGTATCAGCCATTTACTAAAATATACAAACGTGATGTCTTCAGTCTTTCATAAGCTCACTTCAGCTGCTTGGGATGTACTTATGAAAGGTATGAAGTTAGTGCCTCTGTGGAAACATTACAGAAAATTTTATTTTCCATTCTGCTATTACACCCAATGGAGTTTCCACACTATTTTGCTTTGGCATCCTGCAATAGAAAACAGGTTTGATATTCCAACACAAAGGTTTAAACTTCTGATTAGAGCAGAAGTGCATTTATTATACAATATGTATTTAACTAAAACTAGATCCATAAAACCACCACTGATCCAGACTGCTGTTGGTGCTCCATGCTGTTTTTCCAGGACATGAGATGATCAGCATTCTGTTCTTGAGACATGTATTAATTTATCTGAAAAATGATTTGTTCTCTGTTTCCTTGGCATCTTCAGTCAGGGGACTATAGAGTGCAGTAGTTAAAAAGCATGGCACTTTTTGTAATTAACAGTCAGATGTAGGGTACTCATCAGCCACAACAGGCTGCTCTCTGCCATGTGTTTTGTGCTTAACTTCTCTAGGAAGCCCAACCTCAATGGTAACAGTCCATGCAAAGGAAACTGAAAGAGAACAAATTACTGCACTGCAATAGCCTTTAGGCAACCTGTGAGCAGGTCAGCTTTACAAGCAGAAACATTCCAGTTAGTTGCAAATACTTCACCAAGGGAATGACAATTCTATTTAGCTTTGCAGCAATTTTATTTTTTCTTAAAAAGTCACTATTTAAAAATAATCAAATTAAGAGAGTTCTTCCCCTTGCGTACTGCCATAAGATTTCTGCTTGCCATGCATCTCTAAGAGAAGTCTCTTGTCAGGTTTCAAGAACAAGGGCTGTGCTGCTCTTGGCTCTATCTGCTGCTACACAGTAGCTGCTGCCTGCTTTATACCTGCCTATGCTGCTCCATTACTTACTGACTCCAGCAGCCTGATCACAGGGAACCTTTTCCTCAGTAGCCTCAACCGTTCAGAAATGCAGAGTTACTCACAGCTGCTGGAGGCTCAAGCTTGGCAGAAATAGTGCACCACAGAGAAAGCTGATGGGTGGGTTAAAAAAGCCCTGAGCAGGCAGACAGGAAGACAAGGGGAGGACTTTGTTTTTTCTGTCCTTCTTTCAAACATAAAACAGGAAACACAGTTGTACAGTCACTTTTCAAGAAGTAATACAATGAGAATGAAAATGTTGGAGTGGAATAATAAAAAAGTGGGGGGATAGGAGGCGGAAACACTAAGAATTAAGCCATTATTAAACAAAAATGTGGCATTTTAAAATGAAACATTGATATCAAAACTATCGTCTCAACTGAAGCTAAACAATAATTTCCCCTAATTTGCACTTTCTATTTCACACACACACTCGCATGGGCACTTAGACCAAGAGTCTTTCTATGGCTTGTTGTACAGACTGGATCTGAGGCTTTAGCTGTGAGCCCTCCTTGATGGTGATGGAGCAGGCGATGACGGGCCGGGAAACGCCGCACGCGCGGCCCAGGGCTTGCTTGGAGCGCACGAACACGTACGGCACGTTCTTGTCCTCGCACAGAAGAGGGAGGTGCAGGATGATCTCCAAGGGCTCTGCATCTGCTGCCATCACAATGAACTCTGCTATCCCTCTGTTCAGTGTTTTGGTGGCTGTAAAAGAAACTGGAGTCAGTCTAGGTCTTTCTGGAAAGCACATCTAATGTTAAACAACTTCAGGAAGTGCTGGAAGTGGCTTCAGTGGGAAGAGATCTAGTGCATGAGACATGGGTTCTAAGAGATTGCTGAGTTTCTATCCTTAGGAATTCTGGGTTTTTTTACAAGTTGACTAGGTGAAGCCCCAAGCAACTGTGAAGGGAGGTTGTGAGCAGGTTGCACTAGAGGTATCTTCAAACCCAAATCTTACGGTTCTGAACTGGTTAGGCATCTGGTAACCCCAGTGCCACACCACTGAAGCATGCATGATTACAAACTATACACCAGGAACACAGTTTGGGAATCTACCAGAACTACATATAAATGTCAGAAAGATTACATCTTAGTTTTGTCCCTGAATCTTGTTAAAGCAGGCTTGAAGGAGGAGAAGGGAGAGACACACCTGCACTAGCCAGATCTATATAAAATGAGTGATCACAGCTACAGAGAAAAGACAATCTCTACCCATGGCATCTCACAAAATCCTTGTTGTGACTTGTAGCACACTTTTCAACGTGCAAGTCTCACCTTCATTGGCTCCCTTGCGTAGCTGCTTATAGTTGCAGGATTGCTGCACAAGGTCCAGCAGCGTTTTGGTGAGCTGTGCATCAGCCAGCGGGTAAGCTTTGGGATTCACTTCTGCCTCACTCTAAAGGAAAAAGTAAAGAATGTCACAATAGGCACAAAGGAGGCTTTGGTTCGATCAGCACTGCGCAGGCATCATGTCCACCACATATACTGATTTCTGAAGTTGTGTCTAATCTGCTCTGCCCAGACAGAAGAAACACCATTGCATTTTACTCCTAAAAGAGTAAGGATTCTTCTTGTATCAAAGTAAAGGGGAAAAATAAGAAAGATACGCTTTACATCAAAGTAAAGAGTGTATCTACTCACAATCTACATCTTACAAAGCAGTGCACTTATGAAGCAGTCTCAGGCGTTTTATACCACTAAGACTACAGAAAATGAAACACTTCAATGCACCTTAACAGTGCAAATTAAGAGACCAACAAAACTTTTGAAACAATCACCAGAAGAACACGCATCAGGGTTATTTCTGCAAACCACAAGTGGCTTCTAACGTTAACATGGGCAGCGGGGTGGCACAGCAGCGAGGTCACAAGCGGTGTTAGAGACTGGCGCTGGCAGAACCGCGGCCTCTGCGGCTCCTAGCACAGCGCGGGGGTGACCCCAGGCACAGAGTCCTCCGTTACCGGGTGTCCCCAGCACCGCCAGCCCCCCGGGCCTCCTGCCCCGCAAGCGGCCGCAGCCCCGCCTGCACGGCCTCCACGTGCTGCCCGCCGCGCAGCCGGAGAGCGGCCGCCCTTTACCCCAGGCTGGTGGGAGTGGGCAGGAGGAAGAGGAGCAGGGAGAGGAGAAAGAAGAATAGGAGGAGGAGGAGGAGGAGAAGAAGGAGGAGGAGGAAGAAGAGGAGACGGGGGTCCGACGCCACTCACCATGGCCGCGGCGCGGTGGCTGCAGTCGGCCCGAGCGCGCTGTGAGGGAAGAGGCGGGAGCGCTGCCGCGGCCGCCGGAAGGGAGGCGGTGCCGGGGCGGAGCCGCCGTCCCCAGCGGGGCGGAGCCGCACGGCAGCCCCGGCAGCGCCGATGGCGGCGGGGCCGTGCGGCGGTCACGGGCCGCGCTGGGCGCTGCCGCTGCGCCCGCCGCTCTGCCTCGCCTGCGCCGTGGAGACCCTGGGCGACGGCAGCGCCTCGGTGGGCAGCGCCTGCCCCGCCGCCCCTTCCCGTGTGCGGCTGGGCCGCGGGGCCCCCTGAGCGGCGGGGCTGCCGCTCTCCGGCGCTCAGCTGGGGGCCGGGCCCGGCCGCTGTGGCCCTTGGCCAGCCCTGTCCCCTCGGCAGCCGGGCCCTGGTGGCCCTTTTCCCCTCAGGGCGGTGGGAGCAGCGCGGGGCTCGGGCCCGGGGCCTAACGCGCTGCTGTGTTTGATCCTAGCTGGTGCGCAAGAAGCACGTCCTGTCCCGGCTCCAGGATGCCCTGGCCTGGCAGGCGCTGCCGGTCGTCCAGCTGCTGGCACCAGACGAGAGGGTGTGCATGCATTTGATAGGAACTCTCTTTGGTAAGAGCTCTCTGAGGCCTGGTGCAGCCGCAGGGAGGAGGTAGTTAGTTACCTTTTGTTGAATACATGTGAAGCTTCCCCACATTTGAAGCCAAGAAAAAGAGCAGAACATTGAGGTGCCTACCTCCATACTTCCACCGTGCTGTTCTGTAATTACTCTCTGTAGAAAACTGGCTGTCAGTGATTTAGAGTAGGTTAATTAATTTTCTCATTCCCCAGGGTGCAGGATTGCCATGTTCATAAAGCTTTTGCGGTTTTTCAAAGTATCTTGATGTATCTGTAAAGTCCTTCTGGAGAATAGGGAGTGCTTGGCATTTTACTCTCCCTGAATGCTCTCCATTCTGGTCCAATGCCTCTAGAGTTATATGAAGATTCATACAGAAATCAAAGTGTGAGCATAAAAAGGTGTTGCAGGATTTAATATCAAATGTGCAAACCACAAATCTATGTAGTGGGCTTTTTTTACACCATCACTTCACATGTGTAGAAATCTTTGTTGCTGTACAACTAAAACCTGCTGCTCTCTGGTGAGTCAGCCTCAGCAAAATAGTGTTCGGCAGGATATCAGAAAGTGTCTTTCCAGTAAGTCTGTGTGGTCTTGAACTTCTCTTACTGGTTTCTGTTTGCATAACAGGGAAATGTCTTTGAAACATCTAAAATCTTGGTGGAGAAGAAATAATGGTCTAAACGAGGGAACAGTAAGGCAGGAAGGGAAAGGTGGAGGGTAGAAATCAGAGTGTCTTTAAAGCTCAAATATACCAGATTCCTTCAATTCCACCGTCTCATTTGCACATCATAGATAATTATTGTTGTTTGAGGAAAAGTAACCTACAAGACCCTCTCCCTGCCTTGACGCACTGAATTGTTCAAAAAGAGTTGATTACCCATAGATTGTGTTGGGCACGTCTTGGAAGCAGGTTTATTAGAAACAGAACTTTATGCAGTTCTTATTCTTTTAATTGCACAATTTTTTTTTAATAGTGTGTCACACATAATCCTTTAGAGTACTGGAAAAGATGATGATTGTGGCTGATTGAGCCCTACACTGTATGGCCCTAACACAAAATACCCCAGAAGACAGGGATGCTGTGCTTGCATTTCAATGCTCTTGTCTGCTTTAATAATTCTCTGAGAAGAGAATTCTTTTTATGATTGGGTGGTTTGAGGACAGCTTTGGGTTGTACTGTACTTGGTGTAACTCTTAGAGCAGTTGGAATTCCAGGCTAAGCTTGGAGCTACAAACAATGGTGTGTTCATTTTCAATAGAGCTTGGATGAACCAAGGAGCATTTGGTGCAAGAGTGGAAGGGGAACCTCCCCAGAAGTTTGAGCAGTGCTGTGGAGGAAGTATTAATAGTGAATTCAGGAAAATACATTTGGAGAGAGAATATTGAAATAAGCACAGGCAGAAGAAAGAGGGTTAAGAGAGGTGAAATATGGAGTGTTACTTACAAGGTGGTGTGTTTCAGATAAGCCTGAATTTAATGCAGCTAATATTGTAATGTTCAATAATGTATACAAATCTTTCCTAAAGAGTTATTAAGGACTGAGCAGATGAGGCATGGAATAAGTAATTTCTTCACCTGTCATAACATTGCTTTAGTTGGTCAAAATTCTGAGACATCATGGAGACTTCAGAGGGGAGGTGGTTTGGTTGGATATATTAAAACAAGTGATTTAGTGTGGCAGAAGTGGGGATCCAAACCAAATGCCTGATGCTATGGGTTGGAAGGGGCTGGGAGGTGGAGTTTCTTGTCTGCTGGGGTGTAGTAGAGTTTGTTTTGATATATCCACTCTTACGCTTTCATTGTAAAATTAACTTGTGAAGTGATGCCTTCAGGTTCAATTTAATGTTGGAATTGTTTCTGGATGATTTAAACCTGGTGTTCAGGTTTGGTTTCAGGGTTGTCAGTACTGTGGAGGGAGAAGACTGATCATAGTAACTGGTAAGAATGGAGGACACAAAGTACACAAAGGACAAAACCCACTTCTGCCATTCCAGGGTGTTGTTTCAGATGTGTGATACTGCATACACACGGTGAGATGTGGTGGTGGCTGCAGTTACATATTCCCTGACATAGGTGGAGCCATTGACTTCAACTATCAAACACATAAAAAATTTGCAAGAGAACTGAGTGTGTCATGTCCCTGTGTCCTGCTTATGGAGGCATCTTTTGCCATATTCCTGGAGAGTATCCACTCTTATCTGACAAAGTCAGGCTGGTGTTATGTGAAGCAGGGAAAAGAAAACAGTTCTGAAAAAAACCCCAGCTCCTTTTAACAAGAAGGAATTACAGCACTGATGATCAGAAAGAGGAATGAGTTCCATGACCTGTTGTGGTTTGTCTTGCAGGGATGTTGCATTCTGTGGAAGACAGCAGTGCCCTGAACCTATTAGTTGAAGGTGAGTGACAAATCCACATCTCAATTCCTGGCAGTTTGTGAATGGGACAATGTGTCTTGTCTGATACCTATAGTGAGATGCTCAGCTTTGACACAGCTTCAGAAGGGAAGACCATCAATATCCATGCATCAAAAATGATGGTCTGCTCCAATATTGGGGCAGGGGGGTGTGTGCATTTTAAAATATTTAACATTTCTCTCACAGGTCTGTGTGTGCCATTAATTTATTATCAGATGGGTAACAGTGCCTCAACTTTGGCATCTTTAGACCTGACCAAATTGTCAAAGCAAATGGAAGTCTATGGGATCTACTGCTTTCTCCTCAGGAGTAGAGGGTATTTGTGATTTAGCTGTACAGGCTGTAGATTCCACTTTGTAGATTCCTCATTTGAAAACTGAAGGAAATGTCTGCAGGGCTGGCAAAGGAATCTCTGCAGTCCAGTTAACTCTGGGCAGTTCTGCTGAGTCTAGAGATATCAGCAATGCAGTGATGCATTCCATGACCAGCCATGAAAGGTAAAAGGAGTTATTACAAACTTCTTCCAGAGGGATTTTAGTTTCCAGACACTTGCTTGAAATGGGGTTGAAAAGTGGAGAAGCCTTTCTGTCATGTTACCAGTCTGTTGAGAGATGGATGCTCTCTAACAGAGCAATTTTAAATTAGTGTTGCCTAAGTCTTGAAAGTGTTTTAAGTTTCTGAGAGTTTGGGGCAAGAAAGGGCTGTTAAACCACCTATGAATCACCTGTCTCAGACATGCTTCTGCTGAGATGTGTAGCTCTGTAGCTGAAGCAGGTCTAGTATTGCCTTGGATATACCAAGAAATGGTGAGCCCAAAAGTCTCCAAAAGAAAGCATTTCTTTTTAGAATGCTTTCCTAGGATATGAATCAAAAGTGTAGGACAGCCTTACCAAACCCTGTGTAGAAATGTGTGCAGTGTCTCAGTAAAGGGGCTCTTGCCAAAATTTTATCAGCTGAACATTCAGGTGCCAGTTCTGAAAGTACTGGAAGAAGAACTTTGCTTGCTGCAGCTGGCCTGCTGGTCTATGTGTGGAGGCACAGGCAGCCTGCCAGCACCAGGCAACTCCCTTGAGATTTGGTTAGGGAAGCCCCAGGTGATGTGTTGTCACTGCCTGGAAAACATCATTTCTTGCTGATTCCTCTTATTAGTACAGAGCTGTCAGAGTTCTTAAAATAGTAACAGCACTTGCTTGGGGCTGAGGAAGTGACCAGCAGCACTCTGGTGACTGGCACTGTCCTTTCTGCTAGGGTGTGTGGGACATCTGCAGTGGGGAGGAATGGCTGATAGACTTCACTTATCTTGGGGACAGTAGCAGCTGAAGGAGGAGCTCTGAGTGTGAATCTAAGGATCCTCAGCAGTTTCAGTTCTGATATCTTCTCTGGAAGGATGCATTTTTAAAGGCCAGTTTTCATACTGTAGGAAGCCTGGTCTATTAAATTACCATAATTTTTTATGCTTTTAAGCTAGGTTTTTTCCCCCCTTCCTTTCCTGATTCCTTATGTTTACTTGCTGTCCTGAGGCTCAGTTTGTCACTTGCAGCTCATTTCCATGCATGGTTTGTAGTGCAGCTGAAGCAGGACTGCTGGAATGATGCCTCAGAGAGCTTGAGCTGGGCTATCAGAGGTAATAGTGCTGGGACTGCTGCTGTAGCCCTGCTCTCTCAGCACGTCTGGGCTCATTTCATTCCTGAGCTCTTTGCTCACTGGTCTGCTAAAGCCCCATGGAAGATGGATTGTGAGTGCCCTTGTGTGTGTGTTACTGATCCTGTTTTTTCTGCCTAGTTCTGGTGAGGCTTGTTGTGGAGCTGAAGTCAGAACAGTATTTATACTGCATTTTGGATGAAAGTCAGAAGGAGGTCAGTGAAGATGAGTTCTCTTCCCCTTTCTTCCAGTCTTTCAGAGGTTGAGGAATGAATGGCCCTGGAAGACTGGGATGTAGCAGTGGGATCACAGAATCATAGAATGGTTTGGGTTGGAAGGAACCTTAAACATCATCTAATTCCAACCCTCCTGGCATGGGCAGGGACACCTTCCACTA